GCGAAGCGCCCGTGAGGGGGCCAGCCCCTCACCTTTCTCTGTCTCGTTGCAGTCAATCCCAACGTAGCCCTCGGGGCAGATGCAGAAGAAGGGGGTCTCATTAATCCCAGTCAGGCAGGTGCCCCCATTCTGACAGTGGTTCACGTCGCAGAAGTCACCTGGAAGCAAAGCCACGTGTCACCGCAAGCCATCCCTAAGGCGGGCATCCATCAGAGCCCCGCAGATGCACATGGAGGCATCCCAGCTCCACGGCAGGAATTGCTCCCCTGCAGATGCCACAGGGAGGGGAGCACCTGGCAGCGACCGGCTGCTGGATCCTGCACAGGAGCACCAGTGTTCAAGAGTGATGGTTGAGACCAGGAGTATGAAAGAGCGATCAGGACCTGCCCTGGCATATTAAAAAAGGGGTTTAACAGAGCCTGCACATCAAACCGAAGCCAGGGGAAACCCAGGTTTTTGGTGCATCAAATGTTTCTGCCTCTTGGCTGGGAAGCAAAGGTGGCCAGGCTGAGGCTCGCTCAGGCACGAGCAGGACAGGATTATTCAAGTGAATGGCACTGGTCCTGTTGCTGGGTTTTGCTAATGAAAGTTAGTATTTGTAAGACCAAAAAAAAAAATCATTATAGGGGGAGCTCGCATGCCTCAGTTCTCAGATGCTGGAGACATGAGAGGAGGCAGCACAAGGTCCATGCCTCCACGATGCCTGCCAGACCTCCATCCCTCTCCAAGCAGCTCCCGTGAGGCAGCCCCAGCCCACAGGCAGGTCCCCCCAGGGAACTGGTGGGGCTGCACCATCTTTCCTGCCTGTTCATCCACCTCCAGCATCTCCCATGGTACTGGCTTTACACACTGAGGCGGTGGTGGCAGAGGGCTGCAAAGGTGGCTTCTGCAAGAAGACACCAGGAGCTGCCCCCATGTTGGAGACAGTCAGTCCCAGCCAACTCCAAAACAGATCCACTGCTGCCCAAAGCTGAGCCCATCACCGACACTCGTGTTGCCTCTGCAATAATATACATAAGATAAGGTAAAAAATGCTGTGCAGCAGGTGTGGGAGAGGAGTGAGAAAAATGTGAGAGAAACAGCCCTGCAGACACCGCGGGCAGAGAAGAAGGAGAGGGGCGAGGTGCTCCAGATGCCAGAGCAGGGATTCCCCTACAAGCCCATGCTGAATACCATGGTGAAGCAGGTTGTCTCCCTGCAGCCCATGGAGGACCCCACCAGAGCAGATATTCACACCACAGCCCATGGAGGACTCCAGGCCAGAGCAGTCTGTTCCTGATGTGCTGTGCTCCATGGAAAGGACCCACACTGGAGCAGATCATGAAGAACTGCAGCCCACGGGAAGGGCCCACACTGCAGCTTTTTCATCTTCTTTGCTCCTCCCTGTCCTTCTGAGGAGGGGGAGTGAGGGAGCAGCTGGGTGGGCACCCAGCAACCAGCCAAGGTCAACCCACCACACCCATCAACCACCTTCCGTTCCCCATTGCAGTGCTGAATCAGATTGCAAGAGCCAGGCTGAAATTCTTCCCACCCTCAATTTATTCTGTCCCCAAAAGCTGCAAGACAGCAACACTCTCCATAAACCTAGACCAGATTCCCACAGATCTGGCTGAAAGCCTCAATAACTCCTAGCCAAGCGCTAGGACAGAACATCCCTTGATGCCAGACTCTTCTCTGCCATGCTGCAGGAGTCAGAGCAAGGGCTGAACTCAGGTGGAGACCCAGGAATAACCCCCCACTACCTGCATGCCCTGAAGAAGGTGGAAGTTAATGAGCTGTGGGCTTGCTGCCCAGACCCACACCAAAACAGCACAGCACTCATTAGCCTAAGCTACTACTCAATGAGCTCCTTCCTACTCAGTGAGCTCAGTGAGCTCCTTTGAGTTAACCCTACTCTTCCTGACACTCCACATCTGTAGGGTACACACTGGTGGCAGACAGGCCAGCATTACGTGAAGGTTTCCGAAAAGATGCTGCAGCTCCCTTAGCCCAGCCTCAGGAGGCAGAAAAACTTGGGCAGCGGTTCAAGTCACTGCCTGCGCTGCCCAGCCTGTTCTGCATGACCTCATGCTCCATCAATGTGCTGCCATGAGCTACAGCACGGGAGGAGAGAGCTCGTGCTGATACGTGGGGATGCCTTTGCCCCACACCCCTCCGCAGGTCTCGGGCACATCCAGCCTCCCCATCCCAAGGATCTCTCCCGGCAGCCGGCCAAGGTTGTGTGGACAGAGCTGCTTCTGTTCGGCCGGCTGCTTCCCCAGGCACGAAGCGCCAACGAACGTGTGCTCCCCAGCATCCGCGTTGCCTCCGACGCAGGAGTGTCTGGGGTGGGACACAGCAGCGAAGGAGCAATGGCTCCTCTCGGGGTTGGGACAGGAGGGGTCTCAGTTTTATACTTTAATTATCCCAAGTAACTGGACTCCCTTTTATCCCCTCCTAGGAATAATCCCTTACAGGGTGGGTCTCACCAGCCAGCCCCCTGCCTAGCAGCAAGGCACACGGGTCACATTTTCCACCGTGGCAAGTAGTTTTGGATGTTCCTATTTCTCGGCTGTTTCAGGCCTGGTTTCAGAGCAGTTCAGCATCTCCATCCTCCACACACACATTTTTCTCCGGTCAGGGACAGAGCTGTCAGAGGCTGGACAGTCAGGAACCAAGGCAACAAAGATCAGCCACCGCTTTTGGAAATGTTTGCTTATATGAACCCACAGGCTGGCTGGAAGGCAAAAATAACATCCTCCAAAAACTGGGACGGCTCATCCCAGCGGGGCTGGGGGAGGTCAGGTCAAGCAAGGGCTTGCCCTCTCGTGAGGGCAAAATGGGCACCTCTGCTCAGGGAGAGAGCACAAACAGGGCCTTCCCCACAGCACACCTTCCTGCTGCCCTTTGTCCCCTGGCCTGGAGCCTGTGCTTAGGCTTTGCTCCCCTTTTCCCTGGTCTCATCCATCCCTTTTGGAGTCAACCACTCCGGGCATGACCCACAGGGTGATGATGATGGAGCTGCTTCTCCCTGGGGTTCCCCTGGCCAGGCCAGCCAGCCACACTGTGCCAGGCAGTCCCAGGGAAGCTGTTTACATTGCGGGCACGGTTATCTAAGCCTGAAAGCAGGGGACAGCCCAGCTAAGTAATTCCCAGCTTGGGAGCAAGGACAGGGCTGTAGACCTGAGCTCCTCTGCTCCTGCAGCGGCAG